GTCTGTAATGGGTGTTAGGGGTTCTCTGTCACGGTCTGTGATGGGTGCTAGGGTTTCTATGTCACGATCTGTGATGGGTTCAGAGGTTCTCTGTCACGGTCTCTGATGGGTACTGCGATTTCTCTGTCACAGTCTGTGATGGGTCCGGAAGTTCTCTGTCACGGTCTGTGATGGGTATTGGGGTTTCTCTGTCACGGTCTGTGATGGGTCCGGAGGTTCTCTGTCACGGTCTGTGATGGGTATGGAATTTCTCTGTCACGGTCTGTGGGGGGAGGGGGGGGTGCAAATTTCTACCCCTAAACACTTCAACACTCCTTTCAGATTGTGTTTCACAAAAGATGACGTAATTTGATCAATAACTTCATATTAGTTTGTTGTAGATACTATCGATTTATGGAGAGTGGTCGAAACTTTTGAACCACCCTTTAGAGAATTTTAACATTGAACAGAGCCTATCTGAGCCTCTTTAACCTCCTTAATCTAAGACGATTCGAGCCTACTCAAGCTTTTTCATATATTTAATTTAGGATAATTCGAACCTGTCCAAGCCTTAATCTGTCACAGTTTAAGCCTACCCAAGCCTACCCGACTCCAATCTAGGGTAGGCTCGTGCCTACCCAGGCCTCGTGGCTCCGCCGCCTATGCTTGTGAATAACCTGTGTGTTCGTACTGCTTGATGAAAGCAATAAGATATAAGTACGTTAGAGAGAAGAAAATATGTGATGAAAATGAAGAGACAAGAACATTATTAAAGTTAATGTAATGACTCTAAATCACTGTCCTTTTCAAAATAAGCAATTGATAGAGTAGTGTTGGTCAAGAAGAACGAAAATAAAGAAGTGCTCTATCGCTACTATTTGGAACAGTTCATAGAGCAAAGTCCTGGTATGTTAGACCCTTATGAAAGTCAAATTGAAAGAGTACCAAGACTTAATACATAAATTAGCAATGTTAAATGAAAAGACCGAATTTCAACGAGGAAAAGAGACACGTATCAAAAAAGAAAATAGAAAAGTCATCTGGTTTCGATAGTATGTCCAATTTTATAATCGAACGACTTCGACTAATTTACATTAGTTGCTTATCAAACTGCTTCAATATCTTGCTGAACGAATATAGATACTTCGATATTTAGAAATTAACTAAAATAGTTACATTGAGTAAGCTAAAAATAGGAGTATCTTGTTGGATCAGACGCATCTGATTTCATTTTCAGCAAAACATGTAAAATTCTGTAAGGCACTGGACAAAAGTCCCCAACAATCTAATCTCTCGAGGTTATCTCGCCAGACTTGCGTCCTTGAGATATTAAAATTTTACTGGGTTTTTCGTCTCTCCCTCAGATCACGTGGAAAATCGACTTTGAAGTTTCCACTTTAAACTTTGTACGAACAAAGTTCTTAATAAGATTAGTTCATTGGGGCAAGTTGTAATGTTTCCAGTATCTCTTATTCGGAAATACGAAATATTCGAAACTCTCTCATATGTAAAAGCAAATTTTGTTTCTATATTTACTTCTCTAGAAAGGACATACTAAAAAAGTTAAAACGTGTCCAATGAACTAATCTCATCAATTTATACAAACTAGTAGTAAAGATTTTTTTACTTGCAAGTATTAAATTCAGTATCTAATATGTATATGGATGGTCATAGACTAAAACTAATTAAAGAATTCGAATATTTAGACTTTACTTGGACAAATAAAATGTCCTTGAAACTAATAATTGATAAAATTCTTAATCAGAAGATGCTTTCCCTTTTTTTTGCTTGGATATTCTTCCTATATTCCTTCGTATCCAAAACCAATTGGTTCACTACTCCCTCTTTTTTCGAGCTACAACAGATTTTGTTAAATAACTAATAACGTGTGATTAGAAGATTATATAAAACGGTCTATAAAAAAAAATGAATAAAAAAGTCACACTTAGATTGGTCGCTTTTTAAAAATGATATATTTTATTGGTATTTATTTCATGAAAGTAAAACTGATTATTTTGGACATTTCTTTCAAATGAAACGACTGATCCATTCGTTTGAGCTAAAACTTTTAGAATGTAATAATTGTTATGAGATCTGTTATTGAAGAAAGTTCCAAATGGAGACTCGTTATTGCAGTTTTTTTTGCTAATATCCTGCAATATGCTGAAAATTTAATAAAACAATCATGAAAGGCTTAAGAGCACGAACATATTTAATATTTTCATCATGACTATGAGTCCTACTTATGAGCTCGAACAGAGGATATCAGTTGGACAAGTTCTCTCAACATCTATTTGCTGATAAATAGAACCAAAAAAAAATGTTTCCTCATGTTTTTACTAGAGCCATACAAATGATATTTAAAAAACAAAACGATTAATATATTATCTAGTTTATATTTGATCAAAAGTTTTCTTTTCTCTGAGTTATTATTCAAATCATAACACAAAAATTAGGAAATATTTGATACTTTTCGAGAAAATATCTATATGAAAAAAATATATATCTTCACGAATTTTTAGGTGTAGTAACAAAAATTGGTGATATGATTAGATGTTTTTTAGTTTTACATTTGGTTCTTGTCGTTGTAACATTTTAGCAGCAGTATGATGAAAACCTAATTGATTAAATAAAAATGCATTAACATGTCCATGAGGAATATATCGAATATGAATACCAGGTCATACATCATTCATATGTGGAATACCATCACGTAATGCACAACCATCATGTGTACAAGCAATAAACATAGCATTAGATATATTTGATTGAACTGAGCGTGAATAATTATATAAAGATGTAAATTCATCCATAAGAAGACGCATCATATCTTTAATAAGTTTGAGAACAATTTTATTTGAATCTATTGATCGATTTCGTTCACATAAATAATCATAAAATATTTGAGAGGCTTTATTTTCATAGAATTGTCGAGAAGGTGAATCAGGCCATCTAAAATATAAATATATACACAATGGCTACCAAAATTATTCAACTTTTACTCCATAAAAAACTGTCCTAGAGAGTTCAAGTACTAGATACTGAGAAATTAGGCTTTTGGGCTGTCTAAAAAAATCTTAACTTTGGGAATTAAATAATCAATGTTTTTAATTTATATTCTTTTTGTAATATGGTTTGCTCTACTTGAATCATTATTTGAAATTAGGATAGATACTGTATATTCATTCATTAAATAGATCAAATAATAGAATTGAATCTTACTTTGTAAATGCTAATGAAGCCATATGTCTACCAAGAGAAAAACCATGTAGAATAGCTGATGTTAATTTCATTTTTTGATACCAATGAAGCAGATCTGGGAGTTTTCTTAAACCATAATATAGATTTTCAAGAAGAATTGAACCTAAAGGATATTGATTAATTAATGGGACTGCAGTAAATAACCTTCGTCGACTAAAACCTTGATCACGTCATAGAACAAGTTGAAAATGAGCTATAGCTACTTGAGATGGAACCTATTTAAATAAATAGAACAAAAGAAAAAAGATAATATTAATTAAATGATTAAAATAATTTAAATTACTTACCAAATGTGGTAAATAATTGGCAAGTGGTGAACGAAATCGAGCATTTATATAATTTTGATTACCTTTTTGTTTCTTGTTTAATTATTTCAACAGTATTTTCCTGTACATTTTCAGATGGTACAATTTCTAAACACTCATCTCTTACACCAATTTTTTCACGTCGATAGGTAAAAATTTCTTGTAAATGAAATGGATTTCCCCAACCACGTACAGATGATTGAATGAATATAAAACATCGAAAGAGATTATCGAAATTCATCATTTCAATCATACTCGAATCTTTAATAATATCTAGAGAATTGTTGATCTGATCTTCTTTTTCTTTAATCGAACAAAAAACAGGACAATACAATGCTTTAGTATTCTCAATATTATATAAACACACACACACATACAAAAAAAACTCTTATATGTTCTTTTTATTTTCCTAAATCAATCTCGTTAGTTTACTATGAAAACAAAAAAAACAATATTTTTATTGCATACCGCCAATAATGTTAAGTAACATTTGAGGACCATGTGGTAAATAGACGCTATTTCTTGATTTTGATAATTGATTTCCAATACCTTCAGCGGCTTCAATTCGTCGAAGTTCGATCAAATCTAACATGAATATTAAAACAAAGTA